TTACACAGACAAGTGTGTTTTGACGGAATTTCAAATACACTAGTGTTAAAAAAAACAATATCATGAAAGCTTTTTTTTCATAATTTAAAAAGGTTAATTTTCTTATTTTAAATATAGGTTTCAAGGCTATTTTGTTTTATTTTCATTACCATGGCTATTAGTTCAATCAAATGTGAAAAATCTCAAAATATTAGATTACATTTTGAGTTGGAATGTTTGCCATAAAGCCACAAAATAATGTATGTTTGAGAGGACTTCCCATAGTTTTTTTCTCCAAGTGATCTTTCTACTTCATCCAAACCATTTTTTCGACCCCATTTCTACAAGAACACCTCAAAAAAGTCGTACCATTAATTAATGTGTCAATCTTAAATATGACCAACCTATCTCAATTAATCGGCTATGCACCACAGGCTTTCAGTCTAGCAGTAGTTAAACCATCATGTATCATATCTATCTAATAGACTCCAATTTGTTTATGTAGTCCTCTTCACACACTAAGGTCAATTATGGTGTTTCACAGGGTTCAGATGAATCAGTTCTGTTTACATTTTACATGCTTCCCTTAAGCAGTATCATCAGAAGGCATAGCATACATTTTTACTGCTATGCAGTTGACACACTATCTGTCCATGAAGCCAGATAACACAGCAATTAGTTAAACTGCAGGAATGTCTTAAAGACATAAAGACCTGGATGGCCGCTAACTTTCTGCTTCTAAATTCAAATAAAACTACTTGTTGCTAAAATTCTTAGAAATATGGTATCTAACCAGATACTTCCTCCAGATGGCATTACCTTGGCCTCCAGTAGTGCTGTGAGGAATCGCAGCATACCAATATCCTGTCTCAGAGTGACGCTGAAAAACAAGTTCATGCATTTATTCCTTCCAGGCTGGACGACTGTAATTCATTATTATCAGGAAGTCCTAAAAACTCACTGAAAAGCCTTCAGTTAATCCAAAATGTACTGACAAGGACTAGAAAAGAGAGCAGATTTCTCCTGTATTGGCTTCATTGGCTCTCTGTGAAATTCAGAATTGAATTCAAAATCCCGCTCCTCCTTCCCAGCATCCCCAATCATGTCTGTCTATGTCAAGCTCTGTCTGTCTCTGCATCCATACCTGAGTTGCTATAATCAGCTTTTATTTAGTTTCCTGTTTTGTTTTGTATTACTGCTTATGTCAAGTTTACTTCTCAGCTCATTAAAGTGCTCGCCTTTAGTTAAACCTCCTTTTCCCTCTGCATGTGCAATTTTGGGTCCTACTTCATCTCACCCTGACAAAAACTTTTACATTTACGTGAAAAGGGAAAGACCATCTTTGAATCAAGGAGGGGGCCTAAGGGTTATCATCTTACCATCTTATAATGCTGTGATTGCAGCCATTCCCCAACTCTCTGTGAATGGGACTCATGGCCACCGATCAATGGTCAATCAATGATCATTGGTGATTAGTGTTTCACCACTGATCATGACAATTTACATATTAATGATCAAGAAACTGCCCTCACAGCCTTTTGCTTTGCTAGTGCTTGTAGTTTCAGTCATTATGCAAATATACTCTTTATAAAGTTGGGGAAACCTGCAGTCAGCTGAGACTGAATGAGTTATAAAATGTTTCTCCCACTGAAAACACTTTTTCCAGATAAACAGAATCACCTTTTTGGGATTTCCTTACGTGGATGATTGAGCATGCATCAAGACAAATCTTTAAATTGTGTCCTTGGATCTTCAGGAAGCGTTCTAACCAGCTCATAAAATAGAAAATCTGTTCTGATAAATTGCCAAGACTAAAACCATTAAAAGTCTTAAAAAAAAAAGATTACTAAAATATATTGTGGAAATCTATCATGCCATTCTCTTCAAGGCTGATGATATAACAAAAAGGGGGAAGAGTGCTGCATTAGATTAACTGATAAAAGATTTTGTTAGCCTCAAAGAGGAAGGAGTTTATATTCCATCGTTAGGTACTGTGGTACTATTTTAAAGTTAAATACCCAGATGTACTAAAAATGTGAAGTATGTTTTTTGTTTAAAGGGTTTTCTTCTCTAACATGTTCTTTGGCATCTCATCATATTACTACCTGTTGCCAGTGAATCTAGTTAAAATGTTCCTCCAGGTGTTCCTTTTTAGTAACACTTAGTTTTCCACCCTTCTTACCCTTGTCCCATCTTTTTTTAGATGTGTTGCTCAAATTCAAAAGGAGTTAATATTTTGAATTGTCTCTCAGCCTGGTTCTGCTGCGGTTACTTCCTGTTAAAAGCGAGATTTTCTTCCCATTGTCACCAAGGGTAATCTAATTGTTGGGTTTTCATTGCATTATTTTAGGGCCTTTATCTTAAAATATAAAGTGCATTTAAGCAACTTTTGTTTTATATAAATAAAATTAAATTGAATTCACAATTTTCACAGCATCCCAAGTTTTTTGCAATTGGGTTCAATTTCAATTTTTGTTTATTCAGTTTTATTAATATAGCATCAAAACACCACAACAGAGGCTTTTGGGTAAAGACCCTGCAATAATAAGGGTTGTATATGAAACAGTGAGCGTTGAAAACAGTTGTCTTTAAAACCGTCTGGCCATCACCCATCGAGGCTATCTTTGTAATGAACATTGTACGCTCACCACAGGTCTAAAAGTGCAAACAACTGCGGGTCATAAAGAAACTAACATGAGGCCTATCTCACATCTATTGTTTAAAAAATGGCCACAAGAAAGTCTTGATCCGTTAAAAAGGTACCGATGATGTAGTAGCTGTGATTACTAACATACATGAATTAAATCTGGACAAAATCTGGATTTCTTTAAAAATCAGAAAACACAACAGGGTACCCCTTGTTAATTGCAGCCTTCTCTGCTGAGGGAGGAGCACCAACTCATCATAAGGTGGCACTGGTGAACACATACACGTTTTGTCAAAGGTTACTTGAATGTCTGTGTCTTTCAAAATATTGCAAATATAATCTTTTATTTTGTATGGCAGTCATTTTTAATAACAACACGGCAGGCACAGTTTTGGGCAGATTATGTTTGTCCAGTTTTTAAATTAAAGAGAAAAGAAAAATCTATCAGTATGCAAATGTTCCTACTTTTATCATTTCAATGACTTTTCCCTAATCTTCTGCACTAGCAAGAGTATTGCAGTCTGACATTCATGCGTGTGTGTCCTGCCTTGGGGATTAACACGCCTCTACTTCCTACAATGCAGCTGGTTTGTTGGATTTTTTGTTGGATTTTTATTGTCTAGAAAATGTATGTTTGATGATGCACAGAACATGCAGAACTTATAGTTAAGCCATGCCAGCTTATACTTGAGTTATTTCACTATCTTAACCTCAGTGAGGTTTTTGTGCAGTTACCTGTAGCTTCACTGATTGTAAATGTAAAAAGAAAAACTAACACGTTTGGGTGCATTCAATGCAATCCTGAAGCGTCACGAGGATGACTGGCAGTGTCACCTGCTTGTGTGTTTCTGGGAACCACCTTATTTCCTGTTTTTACATGACATGTTCCGTCTATTTATGCTAACAGTCAGAAAGTTAACCATTTATATTTACACTAAGCGCACCTTTCACTCTGTAGGACACAGTATTTATGCGTATATTCTTTTAAAGCCATGTTTGTGTTAAGTATATGTGCCGTAGCATGTCATTATTTTTGTTTGTTCTGTTTTTGACCTGGAGTGTGTATTGAACTTTGATTATATAGTTAATACTAGAACCTTCTGTACCATCACTGCTCATAACTACTGCACTGTCATTAGATTTAAGTTATGTTAGCTTAATTATGGCAACCTTAATTCTTACTGCTTTGTATTAATAATACTGTCAGTATCATAACAACACCTTTTTTTTTTTTACCACTAATATAAAGTCCTATCGCTATAGCTACTACTATTACTATTATGCTGTTTATAGTATTAGTTTCTACTAGCAGTAATAATAATAATAATAATAAAAGCGAACTGCTAGCAGCCGTTTAAGAGAGTGTTTGCGAGTGTCAGACAGAAATCTGGAGTTTTGTTTTACTCATCGACCTTTCTGTTAGCGCTGAGACTGTGGGTTCCCTCCTGCTAGCAGTCTTGTTGGTTTCGTTTCCTTGCTGTTGCTCATTTCTGAAGTTTTAAATCCTCGTAATTATTCTGTCTGTTGATGCTTTCAAAATAAAATTCATACTTCACGTTTCCTTGCAGAACAAGTCAAATCCCCGTTCCTGGCTGTGGTAAAATGCAGCTATATTGGTTGGCTGCTGCCTCTAAACATATCATTATTAATACTGTGTGTTGCTCATAAAAATTTAATATTCATGAGTTACTGTTACTTTTGCATATGGTGGTTGCTGCTGTGGTTTCCCTAATGTGTTGTCTCTCTCTCTCTCTCTCTCTTTCCTTTTCCTTTCTCTTCCCGTAATAACCGACAATAAGACTATAGACTATAACTATCAAGTGGACCAGTATAGCTCAGTATAGCTAAAAGCTGTAACGGTCCACTTGGAAAAGTAAATTTCTCTGTCCACCTCTTCTTAAACTTAAAATCATCAACAATATTAATTTCACGCATGATCTTAAACAAAACACATTACATTATATAGAACGGAATACTATTTAATAATTTATCAAAACATCAATTTCAAGTGGGAAGCATAGTGATACTTTGCACATTTTAAACGTAACTTTAAAGTAAAGTGCCTGTAGAAAAAACTATTATTATTTGTATACTACTAGAATGGATTTTGTAATTCCTTAATTTCACGTTGTTTACGAGGCTGGTTCTGTTGGTGGTCTCGTCCTAAAAAAAAAAAAATAAGAAGAAAGTCCTTCCTCACCACCGTCGCTCAAGGACTGTCTAATTGTTGGGGTTTGCACTATAGTACTGCAAGGGCAGCTTGCCCTATTTCGGAAAAAAAAAAATTACTGAATGAGAAGCTGTTACTCAGAATAGTACATTTTCAGCGCTGACTGCGGATACGGATGCTTTTATTTTTTTAAGCATGGACTTCCTGCTGCTTGAAAAGTGAGGTATTTATAGGTGGAGGCGCGACAGCATTGCTCCAAAGCTCCTGGTTCCCCACTGCTCTGCACTTGCCATCATGCTGAGGACTGCTGTTTTCGTCTTTATCGCGTGCTGTGCGCTTTCAGGTAAGACCCCTAAACAATACTAATATTAAAATAAACGAGATCCATATATGAAAAAGAAAGGCGTAACTCACGTCAGATCTCGCTGTTAGTTTTCTGCTCAAGTGCCACAGTAAGTGTTTAGAGTCTACAAAGATACTGTGTTATATAATATATAAACAAAAAGGCCTAAATGAGGCTTTGTCTGTGTGTGCTTACCCACGGAGTTTGTCATGAAATACAATGTATGTGAAACTCTACTTCACAGGGACTTCCTAGATTGTGGGGGAGACAGAAATTTGTCTTTCGATATTGTTGCAAGACCGAGTCACATGTCTGCTGACAGATGACAGCTGTTGTTTTTAGAACATGATTTCCGCAACCGAATACAAACCTTAAACCTACCTTAAAGTTTATAACTTCACTATTCGTATTTTATTGATTAATTGATCAGTCAAGAAAATCGATTGCTTGATTTGTAATAAAATTATTTTGTTTAATACTGTTTATACTGATATCTTGTCAATTTATTTATAAGCACATTTAAAAACAAGTCAGGTTGACCAAAGTGCTATACAGACTAATAATACAGAGCAGAAAGGGAAAAGACATACACACACATTTCCATCATAGAAGCTTTGAGTAATCCCGCTGTACTCTACTCAAACTACTGTTTGATCCCATCAAACAGAATTTTGAGCAACTGGTAATGAAAGCACATTGGAACTTAATTTTGTTTAATTTCATTAAATGTAATGATAAAACTACAATGTGAATAAATACATAACCAGAACTTATTTAAGCAAAAATGTAAGCAATAAGAAAGTTTGTGTTTTCTTACCGAAGCCCAAAGTAACTAAAAGTCAGCTAATACAGCAACAGTAAAGTAAGAGTTCATTTAGTCTGGAATTAGTATGAATGCTGAAAAGGATTCTTTGTTTCTTTGTCCCACAAGCGCTGTCATTGGCTGGAGACACAAACAAATCCAAACCTTCAGCAACTGTCGCCCCTGCAAGTCAATTTGACAGTTCAAACACCACCACCACCAAGCATCCAAACACCACCACCACCAAGCATCCAAACACCACCACCACCAAGCATCCAAACACCACCACCACCAAGCCTCCAAAAACCACCACCAAGCCTCCAAA